GGTGAAAGTAGTATGGTATAAATTTCCATTTAGATGATTAGAGTCTCACAGTTAGACAAGTAGTACATTGTCTTGATTTTGATGCAATTATTTGGTAATTGCCATCTTTGTAGACAGATAGGCAAATTCATGTTTTCTACTGGAAGCACCTAAATTGGTATCCACTCTAGGCAAACACACAAATTCTTACAAATACAAAATGACAGGCAGGCCCTGAAAGTTTACTCCAGTCATACCGTGTCAACTTCATGACTACATTCTTTTTATCACTCCTCGCCACGACAGCCATGGAATATCTCCTGGGAGAGACAAAAACTTCAAACTCTTCTCACTCCTCTCCATGGGCTTGTAAGAAAGGAAATTGCTGGACTGTGGAGAAAGGGGTGGAGGAATGGAATCAAATCAAATAGCTTTCAACAGTTGGCACAAACAGAATGAATCAAATTTTTTTCTGTTTTGTGCTATATCATGACTTGTCTTAGATGTTCCCGCTGTGGCCTCCTCTACATCGGGGAAACCAAGCAGAGGCTTGGGGACCGCATTGCGGAACACCTGCGCTCGGTTCGCACTAAACAACTGCACCTCCCAGTCGCGAACCATTTCAACTCCCCCTCCCATTCCTCAGACGACATGTCCAACCTGGGCCTCCTGCAGTGCCATAACGATGCCACCCGAAGGTTGCAGGAACAGCACCTCATATTCCGCTTGGGAACCCTGCAGCCCAATGGTATCAATTTGGACCTCAAGCTTCAAAATCTCCTCTCCCCCTACCGCATCCAAAAACCAGCCCAGCTTGTCCCCACCTCCCTAACTTGTCCTTCCTCCCACCTCAAGCCACATCCCCATCTCCTACCTACCAACCTCATCCTGCCCCCTTGACCTATCCCCTCCCTAACTCCCCATCTACACTCACTTTTACTGGCTCCATCCCCGCCTCTTTGACCTGTCTGTTTCCTCTCCACCTATCTTCTCTATCCATCTTCTATCCGCCTCCCCCTCTCTCCCTATATATTTCAGAACCCCCTTCCCCTCCCCCATTCCTGAAGAAGGGTCTAGGCCCAAAATGTCAGCTTTCCTGCTCCTCTGATGCTGCTCGGCCTGCTGTGTTCATCCAGCTCTACACCTTGTTATCTCAGATTTTCCAGCATCTGCAGTTCCTATCTCTTGTCTTAGATGAAGTTGTAATTTCTGCAGGTGCAAAAGCACTCCTGAAGAAGTAGCAGTAGGTGAGTTGCACAATGATTCAGAGTGAAATACTGAAAGGTTTGCTTTGTATAGCACCAACAACATCCCATGCAAAGGATCACTAAACTGATTCATGGCATGAGGGGATTAACCTAAAACAAGGGATTGCATAGGATATATTCCCTCAAGTTTAGAAGGATGAAAGGTGATCTTGCTGAAGCAATTCTTAAGGGCCTTTACAGGGTTATATGCAGAGGAGTTTGCATTTTCTGTGGCGTCTAGAACCATGGACCATATTAAATAAAAGTTCTGAGGAAGGGCCACCGGACGCAAAACGTTAACTGTTTTTTCCTTCACAGATACTGCCAGACCTGCTGAGCTTTTCCAGCAACTTTGTTTTTGTTGTTGATTTACAGCATCCACAGTTCTTTCCGTTTTTATTTACCATGGATCATATATTCACATCAGGGGATTGGCTATTTAGAATGCAATGAGGAAAAATTCACTCAGTTGTGAAGATTTGGAATCCCATAGCTGAGTGAGCTGTAAACAGTCCGAGTATGTTCAAAAGAGAGCATTAGATTTCTAAATACTAAGAAAATCAAAGGATATGGGAAAGGCAAAATTGATATAAATCAATTATATTATTAAATGGTACAGCATGTTTGAATGGATGAATGATCTCGTCCTACAGGTTTTTGTTGTTTTAACAGGAGGTATTTCTTGCTCCTTGAAAGAACACCTTCCTCTTCGGAATGGACTCATGATAATTAAGAGAAAATGAACAGCAAATGCCTTAGCTACATTTCAAGATTTTTGATTATTTTTGCTTGGCAAAGATCATGGTATGAATTACATCAAAATACATTAAATGTGGCTTTCACAGTATTAATCCTTGCCTCAGTGTAGTCAGGTCAGGGGTTCAATTCCCATACAAGACTTCTGCACAAAATCTTGGTTGACAGTCGTTTGGTGCTAACAGAGCGCTGCCCTATCAGAGGTGCTCATTAAGTGTCAAGTATAAAGAAGGTTCTCCCAGCGTTACTGCATCATGTTCTGAAAATGATCAAGTGACGACACACTTCAAAGTACCGGTGTATGGCTCAGAAGAGAACTTGAAAGCAAGCCAGGTTTTCCAAATGTACCTTCTGCCCCTGTAGCAGCGGTAATGACTGGATAACCTGTTTTTGTGATACTGATCCAATAGGGTTGATTTGCTTCTGCATTTGTGTGGTGGCTCAAAATAACTTTTTCAACATTCTACCAGCTGACCTGAAACACTACAGATTGAGGCACTGGATTTGTTTTCGTACATTGAACATCATGCCTTTAGCTCTAAATACTGGTTTTAATGCAATACTGACAGTTTTTCTTTTGTGGGGTGGGGGAGCGGAGGGAAGGTGGGGGCTAAGAAAGAGAGATCAAGAGAAACACATTTGTGTTGATAAAAGGTGAGTGCTTAAAGTTGAGGAGAAACACTGAACAGAACTCACATGAAATGTTGGGTCCATCTTAGAAAGGTTACAGGATGGTGGTGTGAAAAATTGAACACCATACTATATCATATTTTCAAGCTTACAAAAGCTTCTTGTTAAAGATATGCTGGAAGAGAGAGGGGGTTTACCCTGTAAGTGACCTATGACATTTCCAAGCTGGGAGTAGCATATCGGATAATGCAGACAGCTTGATTCTTTAACATAGCTCATGTAGCACTACCATGAAGTGAAATTAGAGTGTGCTTTCTTTCAGATGTAATGTTAAACAAAGTCCTGACTGCAGTTAGAAGTAGCTGTAAAAAGTCCAACAGTCGCTATTTTGTAGTGCCAGAAGTTATCCAAAATCAGGATCACAAAAATAAATTACCTGGTCAGTATCACAATCCTGTTTGAGAGCTTGTGACACATAAATTCGCTGCCACTTCAGCTATATGACAAGCCTTACACTTCAAAATACTTTGCTGGTTATAATGTGTTTTGCGCCATCCACAACCTTGGACTATCCTAAAGAAATGCGAGCCTTCATTTATTAAAACCTTTTAATGCTGTAGTTTACATTCCTGCAAATTTTTATCTGGCTCTCAACTCTGCCTCATGATCAGCATCTTACGCATCTGTTATTGGGCCCAAAACATTAACTCTGATTTCTCTCCACAGATGCTGCCAGACCGGAGCTTTCCAGCAATTTCTTTTTGTTTCTGATTTACAGCATCCACAATTCTTTCAGATTTTATTATGTAATATTCTTACCTTTTCTTTGCCTTCATCACTTGCTCCTCACTCATTTGAGTTTCTTCCATCTTCTGATTCTTCTCAGAACGTAAAATAATTCAGTCCTTGTTCCCATTATTTCTCAGTGTCATAGTTTAGAACTCCTTCTCTCAAGGATTTAAAGTCTTCAAATTTAGAATTTGTTTATTGAAAGTATTTAAATTTATTTAATATTTAAATTTATATTTTATTTAAATTTCATTAATTTAATATTAACCATGACCTATCATCATTCTTAAAGGTCCTCTCCAACTTTAACCAGCTCCATTATTCTCGAGTCAGTACCAAACCGTCAGGCCCAGCACTATGCTTTTCTTCTTGCAGGCTTCTTAATCTAGGCTGGCACTTGCACTATACTACTGCACTGTCAGAAGTTCCATCTACTGAATTGGACATCAAACTGAGGTTACCCTTCTTCTACCACAGGTCGTCAGAGTCATACAACACAGAAACAGACCCTTCGGTCCAACTCATCCATGTTGACCAAGTTCCCCAAACTAAATTAGCTCCATTTGCCCGTGTTTGGCTCATAACCCTTTAAACCTTCCCTATTCATGTACCAGTCCAAATGTCTCTTAAAATGTTGTGACTGTATCTGCATCTACCAATTCCTCTGGCCATTCATTCCAAACCACCCTCTGTGAAACGGTTGCCCCTCAGGTCCCTTTTAACTCTTTCTTTTCTCAACTTAATTATGCCCTCTAATTTTGAAGTCCCCTATTCTCGGGAAAAGACCTTGGTTATTCACCTTATCTATGCCCCTCATGATTTTAAAGGTCAGCCCTCAGCCTCCTATGCTCCAGGGAAAACAATCCAAGCCCATCCCCATAACTCAAACCCTCCAGTCCTGGTAACATCCTTGTCGATATTTTCTGCAGTCTCTCCAACTTAATATTCTTCTTATAGCAACATGATTTTGAAAAGCAGGGTTTTTGATCCAACAGCCTGGCCAATATATATCCTTTAGCCAACATCACAAAATACTTGGTTATCACACCAAATTGCTGCTCATAAGATCTTGTGTGAAAATTGGCTGCCATGTTTTGACATGACTACATTTCAAAACAGTATTTCATTCGTTGTGATGCACTACAAAAATGTAACTCTTAAAGACATGCTCCAATTCAGTGCAATGATCAAAAATCTACTTCTGATCTACTTTCAGGTGGACTTTTCAATTTCTTTTAAATAAGCTAACAAACGTGAATTCTGGATTAGATGTAAAATGCTGGGTCATTTAGGCCTACTGCTAAAGCTAACCCAACTACTCTCTAACAAAGGCTGGCACTTACTTTCTTTTACCCTGCACATCACAATATTTTTAACTTTAACAACATTTGGTTAGGATTGGTCTCAGTTGTCTAGTTGTTACTGAAAGAGGGGAAGGCAGCTCAGGCTCTTTGGAAATTGGAGGGTGAAATTTTATTGACATTGGGAAGAAACAAAAATGCAGATAAGAACTTCAGTAGCACAGTTCTGCAGAAGTGCAGGACCACCAGTAACTTTGTTGGCCATCCAGAGTCAACATAATTGAAGAAAATAGCACAATTACAAACAAATTATGAGTCTTTATTTGTGCATGATTCTCAATATTTAGTTTATTTACAATTAAATAGTTTATGATAGAAAAAATCCCACATGGCCAAATCTAGTTTGGGTTAATCATAAGTGGAGAAGGGGAAGCAGTTTTAGATAAACAGAAACAAATTCATTATATGAAGTCCAGCAGGTTCCTACAAAGTTTTCAACTTAGTTCTACTGACCCCATCGCCAGAATGCAAGGTTGAACCTATTAAAGTATTAACACGAACACCAATGCAGTATCAGTAAGCCTGTCCCCACACCAATCTTGGACAGATTCCATTGGGAAGTTCAGAGAATCAAATTCATATACTTCTGTCCACAATATAGCCAGGAGATCACAGCAAGATTGACAGGGGCTTGGTTTCAGACAGCTGTGCTCTCAATCACACTCTGTACGACCCAAGAGAGACCACAAAAAGGGGCCCCTAACGTCAGAGGAACAGAGATATCCAACAGTGTCACTGATCCATTGACATCATGATGACCAAATCACTTCCCAACCTGACAATTACAGACAGGTCCTGAAGCAGTGTTACTACTGAGGGTCACAACTTCTATTCAATGCTTTGTTGAAAGCCACACACAGAGATTTCTGATCATGGTGAAAATGAACACGGGAGCGGCTATGACAGAGGAGGGTACATAGAGCACGTACAGAAAATTTCACTTCCCAACAGTACTGTTTAAAAAGTAATGCAAGGTCAATTGGCAGCTTACCTCCCACTCATCAAGGGATATGGGTAGAACAGGAAAGTGGAGTAGAGTTAAAAGTTCAGTCATGAGTTTGTTGAAGGAGAGAATACTCCAGCTTTCAGTGCTTATACTTTTCTTGGTGGTTCGCCATTAGCTTGTTGAGGAACCCAGGTAGAGGAGAAATGGGCTGTCAATTCAGCCCAGGATTGCACTGATATCAGTACTATTGGAGAGAGTGTGCATTAACGCCATTCTTTCATAAAAGAAAATTAAAAGCTGAGAATTATTTTGCACAGATGGCCCAAGAATCTTTTGTAATGTGAAAGGCCTGTTCCCATGTTTGAAGAGTTAATCAAATAAAATTAACACTACACAAATATAAACAGGGCCTCAAAAATAAAAAAGTGAGAAGACTGAACTCGGACCTATTTATTTAATTTAAATTATTCTGGCAATTAAACACCAATGACAATTTCTAACTAGTTTAAAAACCTCTTTAGGCACCAATAGCAAATTTGACAGAAGCCTATTTTGTTCTCTACTTTCCAATTTAGTACATTAAATGTCAACATCAATTCACTTTCAATTATATATATTTTCAATTAACACAACAGATTTACTAAAAAAAAATCAAGCTTGTCCAAGGCCCAGGAGGGACAGTTAGCAAATGCAATCTGAGAGATACACTAACCTGTAAAAGAGGCCACAAACTAAAGAGAAATGAAGACAATTACTGTAAGGTGACAGATTCGACATTAGCTTTTTGAATTCCAAGTGCAGTGCCAGAATGGCATGCAATTGTTTGAAACTTCATATTCTTAATTACACTTTTAAACTTAAAAGAGCAGTTATACCACTTTCTTTACCGCAATTTGATTAACATTTAAAAAAACACTTTAAAAGATGTACATAAGGGAACAAGAATAGGCATCATACATAGCCTGCTTGGCACAAATAAAAGTTTTATCTGTATTTAACCTATATGTATTGATTTAATCTGAATTAAAGTTAATAAAGTAAAGATTGTTTTAAAAATACATATCAGATACCTTTTAGCAGATTGGAGCAGAAATGAATTGTCAAAACTCTAAAACTGTCAGCATGTACTTTTAAGAGGAGAGTTAAAACTCAAGAGCTAAAATTAGAGGTCATTAAACCCAATACTATAAACTGGCTGAATAGGTAATTGGATTCATTTCTGCACAGGGATACAATGGGTCCAATGAGGATGCAAGTTGGATGAGATCAATCAGAACAAAAATGTACATTAAGATAAAACAAGTCTCAGGTAAACTAATTAACCTGATGTTTATAACCTGACATACACACATGGAATATTCATTAAAGAACAGATTCTGGGCAAACTAAATTAAACCTTTTTTTAAAAAAAAAACTTCAATTCTGAAGGAGAGAATGACTAAAACCAGATTTGGCCATTGGTTATTTTCCCCCAGAATTGATCTTTAATAGCTCAAATGGTGGGGGTTCAAAGTCTGACATTACAGCTGAATACAAAATGAAGGTTAGAGAGTGAGTACAGTCAATATCAATAACAGTTGCAGAGTTAAGACTTAGAAAAAAATCATACCAAGAAATGCGTTTAACTATAAAATGCAAAAATATATTACAGACAAGGAACTAAATACTTATATCAATTTTTCTTTTATAAAAATGTAAACATTTATATACACACGCACACAATCTGACTGACTTAAACATTAAGATACTGCAAGCACCATGATTGGAAATCAATAAATTTGCTATAGGATATTTCAACCATGGGAAATGGATGGTTGGGAAAATGAATGGCTGATTTTCATTCTGTATCTGGCCATTTCATCCTGATAATATGCACCTGCACCAGTCAAGTGAAAAAGACAAATACTAAACCCCCGCCACTCCCAAATGAATCTGGTACATAAATATCTAGAAGAGACAAATGTGGCACAGGCCTCCAAAGAGCCATATTTCCAATATTGGAAAAGACAGCATACCTGAGGCACCGGTAGATGTCAAAACCTCCCCTTTAATACTATGCTCTCAGTGGCCTGGACAAGACAAAATAAGCGTGAAACAGTCACTGAGTGCATAGTGCAATTAAACCTTTTCAGCTGCCAAACTACTTTTAAAAGTTTGAACCAAGTCTGGTCAGGAGTCTGAAACAATCCAATGGAGTTTATTCAATTGATTGACTATAGGCCCAAATAGACCACAGTGCCACAAATGCCTTTACATACAATAACTCGTATTCTACCCCCCCACCAAATCCAAATTTACAGGGGTGTGGGGGATCTGAAACAAAAAAGTAAAGTGCAATGAACTGTTCAATACAGCAATGCAGATGCGTTCCAACTATAGTTTAAGAATACTCTAAATGCAGTATCATTTCTTACCTCCTACTGTGAGCAAGAGAACAGTGATCATTTCCATGGGATACAGTGGTGTAATTATGTTACCAAACTAACAATGCAGAAAACATGAATTCAAATCCCATTGAGAAACAATGATTTGAATACATTTTTGAAAAGGGATCCAGAAATAAATTTTATAATTTGGTGCATGACCACAAATCTGTCAAACCATCTGAAACATTGGTTCAATAAAGCACTTTAGGGAAGGAAACTTGCCTTTTTTTGCTGAACAGACTGCAGTTTCACATCCACAAAACTGAGTGCCCTTTGTGGCCTCGCACAACATAGATGGTTGGGAAATAAATGATAAACTAAGATGCGTGATGATTTTGTAGTGAGCAATTCATAAAAAACCTCATACTTTTGTTGCTGAACTTGGTTAGAAAGTCATATAAAAAGCGAGAAAGTGAAGAAAGAAGAAAACTAAAATGAGATCAGAATCAGAACAACATACACAAATTACACAGCAAGAAGCTGAGATCACACAAAAAGCAGCAAGTATGGGTAGCTAAGGTGACCAAGGAGGAATACAGAACCCTTCCCTCTATTAACTAAAGCAGATAATCTAAAATCAGGGACACAACAAAAATGGCACAAAACAATTAGCTCACAGCGCAATAGGAAAGATGTGATTGCACTAGAGGGTACAAGAATGCTACCCGGACTGGAGAATTTGAACTGTGAGGAAAGACTGGATACACTAATTGTTTCCTTTCGAAGAGAGGCAGCTAAGGGCAGACCTAACTGAAATGTATCAAATTAAGGGGTCTTTCCTATTCACTTCATCTGCTTAAGGGATCCATAACAATGTGATATTAATTTAGGTTGAGAGGTAAGGGGTTCGGAGGGGATTACAGGAAAATGATTTTCACTAGGATGAGGCAGCTCTGGAACCCACTGCCTGATAGGGTAGCAGAGGCAAAAACTTCAACAATTAAAAATAACCTGGATATATACATGAAGTGCCATAAACTCCATGGCTACAGACAAGGGGTTGGAAAGTGGGATTAGGCAGAGTGGTTTCTTGTCAGACACAAAGGGCCAATGGCCGCTTTGTATGCTTTCGGTTTGAGACATGTAAAAGCTCAAGACAGGGACATGAATAGAACATGAATAATTCAACCCTTAATAATGTGTTACTACAGCAGTGACTTTATTGGTCACTTCCTTTCTTGAGAAATAGCTGGGCTGCAAGACCAAGCTACCTCCAAAATCAAGAGTAAAGGAAATGACAGGCAAATGATAAAATACTGACTAGGATACAACAAAAATGTAAAGGACTAAAACCTGAAATAAAATGGAAATCTTTTGAAATGGACAAGAGGCCAACCTGCATCAAGAAAGAGAGATGTGTATTTTTCATTAGATTAATTAGGCTTTTCGAAAATGTGTATAAAAACTGACAAACCAGCCACGTGTTTCCAACAATCTCCATTTCTATTACTTGATTATGATCCGGCAAGCTTGGGTAAACAGGTGTGGAGATGATTACTCAAAAGTTGTGATCTGATGTGGATTTTCTGACTGGCAAGGAGCAACCCGTGTACAATAAAGGAACTTTTTAAAAAACTATATTTTATATAAAAATGTTGTAATCTGACCATTTCGCAGTAAAATAGAAATATTTTAAAAACCTGTCCATAATACGATTCCCAACCATACATTTTTACCTGCCATGTGCCACGGGGGTTTTGTTAGTTTTATTTTTTGGTCCCATATTGTTTATATAAAAATTCAAAAATTACACATGATCAGCAAGCTATCCTTCAATGATGAGATCCCAAAAGTTCATCCAAATCAATTATCCATTCCTCTGTAGTCCTGTTTTTCAATAGAGAGTCCATCAAGTCTGTATCTCCAGGTAAGCCCTGAACTGAGCTACCACCAGACTGGTTACCATAGTTAAAAGGTAGCTCCTGGCTGGTGCCTCTTACCTGGTAAACCTGGTTGCATTGGAGGTTCCCCCTTGAGGCCATTTGTTGGCTGGAAGCAAAGTTAGTCATGTCCGGAATGGACTGGTTTAAACTAGGGATAGTCTGCTGCAAGGGCTGGTTTGTCCGTGACAGAGGTCCACCTAATGCAGGCATCACTTGGTCACCAACAGTTGAGTTGATGGATCCCACTGGTCTGACTGACGCAAGACCTGTACGAGACATTCCCTGCACAAACTGCTGGCTGGCAAATTTAGGCCGAGATGGACGCACATGGAAGGTTGAGGTACTGCTGAATGCTACTAGATTGCTGTTTGTTTGATTTTGGTTATTTATGCTTTGCAAAGATGGGTTCGGCCATGTTGGATTTTGGCTTACCACAGCACCTGGCAACCTCTGCAAATGGGTCTTTGATACAGGCTGGTTCACCGTTCCTTTGTTGTGTTGCTGTTGTGCATGGTTTGAGCTGTTGAGGTGATTTTGACCGTATCCTGTTACCATGGGAGTTCCTGGAGTCATACTCGGTTGCATCTGCAATGGATTTGAATGCTGCCCATTTCCAATTGTGCCCTGGGCAGAATGTGGAAGCATTTGGTTCACATTTGACCCCACATTGTACATTCCCTGTTGGACATTGTGCATATTACCATACTGAGATGCTCCTAGTTCCGACTGACCAGCAGCAGAGCTACTGGAGGAGACAGAACTCTGGCTTGGCCCAATCTGGATCATGCTTTGATTCTGAGGGAACAACCGTGAGCTGCTTGCATTCGCAGCAGCCAGATTTCCAACCGTTGGAAGAACTTGAGGGGGACCTATGAAATGAAGCACAACATTGAGAAAATTAACTCTCAATAAATAAAAGTCAAACTTTATTAATAGAGAGGTCCTAGTAAAGCGGTCCTCTGATCCTGACCAAAACATCATTAACAACAAAAAAAGGTTTCTGTCTCAATTACAAATAGCTACTGTGCAGCCTGAGGCTTTCTGTCCCTTTATCAATAATGTGTATTCTTAGCTGTTGTAACACCAGTAGCTCCGAGTGTGGCACTTGCACCGGAGTCAAATCTTGGGTTCAAACTATATTCCAGAATTTCAGCATGTAATACAAATTATACTTTCTGATGAAGATAGTACTGCACTGTCAGAGGTGTCACTTACCAGATGAAATGTTAAATGGTATTTATCTGCCCTCTAAGATGGTGCAAAGATCCCACTACACTACTGTGAAGAACAGCCGAGTTCTCCCAAAAGACCAGGAATACTTATTCTTGGGGATATCTATCGCTCAAACATCACCAAAAATGATCACTTGGTGAATATCACAAACACATCCTTGTCAGGCCACTGCTTTTCTTACATTATAGTAGTGGCTGTTGTGCAAAATACAGAATGTAAAGCACTTTTAGGAGTCCTGAGGCTGCAACAGGTATTATGGAATTAAAGTCTTTCTTTTTGTTAAATATCTTTAAAAATATTAAGATGGAAATGCAAGATGGTGAAGGATACAATATGCAGCAACTGATTTTGTGTACTTTTTTTTTTTTTAAAAAGAAAGTGTGTTTTTCAGCATCGGATGATGCTGGTAAGGTCAAATGCAGTGCCAATCCTTAGCTGCCTTACAAAGATTAGACTTGTTGAGTCTTTGTAGTAAAAGTCAGCTGTGAATTGCAGGGCCTAGGTCTAGTGACAGTGAAGGAAGTGTGATAATATAGCCACATCAGGATGAAATGTGGCTTGGAGGTAAAGCCAGACGCACAAGTCTTTCCCATTTTATATAATTAAACTTCTGCAATCCATGGAGAACACTAAATTCTTTATATCATGAGTCAACCTTGCAGTTGGAGTCATGCTGAAGTAGTCTGTGAAGAGCGTCCTCACAGTCAGCGTCACATCACCGTCAAGCAGTCTAGGAAGTGTGTCCTCTCAGTCGAAGTCACATTGAAGCAGTCTGGGAAGGAGCAGACAACGTGTCGAGACTCGTTGAGTTAGGGAAGGGCAGCACCAGTGGCAAAGGTGACGTCACAGAGAAGCTATGGTTTGGTTGATTTGGAGGGCCTATATTAAAGGACTTGCCTTAACAGTAGTAGATTCAGAAAGGAGGATAATGATTTAGGGACTATACGAAAATAATATTTTTTAAACAAATAAAACCTAATTAATTATATTAGGAATAGTAGTACAGGCGATGTGTTGCTCTTGCATGATGTCGGAGTCGGAGTGACCACATCTGCAGTAAGTGTCTGCAGCTCAAGAAACTTAACCTCAGTTGAAGAGCTGGAACGTGAGCTTTAGACATTGTAACACACCTGGGAGTGGGAGAATTACTTTGTTACTGAGTTCTAGTCAGTCATATTCCGTAGATTAAGTATTTCAAATTTGGCCAGTAGTCAGGGACAGGAGGGTGTGACAAGTGAGGCAGGTGGCGATGACCCTGAATGTTGCATTGGAGGAGCCTCAGCTCTGACCTTGTCCAACAGGTGTGAGATACTTTCCCACTGTATGGATGACGGAAGAGTCGACAGGAAGGATGGGCAAACTGACCACTGCACCATGGTCCGGAAGCCATTTAAGCAGGGGGAGCACAAAGTAATATGGAAGGGGATTCTATAATTAGGGGGAAAGATAGCATCCTTTGTGAGCAGGATTGAGAGCCCCACGTAATATGCTGCCGAGCTGATGTCAAGGAGAGTCCACGCCGACCAGACATCCCAAACTGACCTAGTCCCACTTACCAGCATTCAGCCCATACCCCTCTAAACCCTTCCCATTCACATACCCAACTAGATGCCTTTTAAATGTTGTAATTTTACCCAAATCCACCAATTCCTCCCGCAGCATGCTCCATACATGCACCACCCTCTGGGTGAAAGCTACCCCTCAGATCCTTTTTAAATCTTTCCCCTCTTACCTTAAACCTATGTCTTCTAGTTTTGGACTCCCACCCTAGGAAAAAGACCTTGGCTCTTCACGTTTTCCATGCCCCTCATGATTTTATAAACCTCTATAAAGGTCACCCTTCAATCTCAAGCGGTCCAAGGTAAAAAGCCCCAGGTATTCAGCGTCTCTATACAACTCAAACCCTTCAGTCCCAGCAACATCCTTGTAAGTCTTTTCTGCACCCTCTCAAGTTTAATTAGATCCTTCTTGTAGAAGCTCGACCAGCATTGTATGCAGTATTCTAAAAGTGGCCTCGCCAATGTCCTGTACAGGCGCAACATGATGTTCCAATCCCATACTCAATGTTCTGACCAATGAAGGCAAGTGTGCCAAATGCCTTCTTCACCACCGTGTCTACTTGCAACTCCGCTTTCAAGGATTATGCACCTGCACCCTTAGGTCTTTGTTTGACAAAACTTTCCAGGGCCCTACCGCTAATTGTACAAGTCCTGCCCTGGTTTGCCTTACCAAAATGCAACATCTCAATATTTATCACAAGTCAGCTTGAAAAGATATTGGAGAGGGAGGGGGAGGATCCAGTTGTTATGATCCGTGTTGGCGCCAACAACATAGGTAAGAGGTCCTGTAAAGGGAATATCAGGAATCAGGAGCAAAATTTAAAAAAAAAGGATCTCAAAGGAAGTAAACATGTAGCTAAAGGAGTGATGTAGAAAAGAAGGGTTGAATTTCATGAGGTACTGGCATCAATTTTGGAACAGGCACACCTTATATGGGACCAGGATCCTTGCAGAAAGGCTAAATAGTATTGTCACAACCAGTTCAGTTCAGACTCAGGAGTGGTTACTAAGATTTTCAGAAGTAATAGGACAGAATATGGAAAGGGTCAGGAAGTCTTCAGGCACAACAGATGAGGGAACAGCAAAGGGGGTTAATCAACACAGGACTGAAGATATTGTACTTAAATGTCCACAGTATATGAAACAAAGTAAGTGAGTTTGTAGTGCACATTGAAACTGGCAGCTGCAATATTGTGGGAATCTAAGGTTTTGGAGTAGATCTGTAGCTCGGGTTGTGGGGGTTGAGGTTGGTTGGCTCGCCGAGCCGGTTTGTTGTACCGCAGACGTTTCGTTACCATGCTTGGTAACATCCTCAGTGCAGCCTCTGATGAAGCGTCGGTGTGTTTTCCCGCCTGGTTTTTAAACTCTGGGGTCCGTTGCGATGGATTGCCTCACTTCCGGGTTTCCTCCGTAGTGGAATGTATACGGGGTCGAGTTCAATGTGGTTATTAATAGCATGCTTCGTGGAGTGCCATGCTTCCAGGAATTCTCGTGCTTATCTCTGCCTAGCCTGTCCCAGGATCTTGGTGTTGTCCCAGTCGAAGTCCATGTGGATTGAGATGAGTGAGTATTGGTCGTGTCTTTTTGTAGCCAGTTGGTGTTCATGTACTCTCGTTGTTAGTTTCCTTCCTGTTTGTCGATGTAGTGTTTCTCGCAGTCTCTGCAGGGGATCTTGTAGATGACATTGGTCCTGTCCATGTCGGGGAGTGGGTCTTTAGTTCGGGTGAGCACTTGTCATAGGGTTGATGTGGGCTTGTGTGCCACTCTGATGCCCAGTGGTTGTAGAAGTCTTGTGGTGAGTTCTGACGTGTTCCTGATGTAGGGTAGTGTGACGAGTGTGTCGGGGCATGTAGAATCTTTCTGATGCTGTTCCTGTAGGCATCTCCTGATCCAGTTCTTTGGATATCCACTATCCTTGAACACTTGGAAGAGGTATTCCTCCTCCTCTTGGCATAGTGGCACTGCAGAGACTGCGAGAAACACTACATTGACAAACAGGAAGGAAACTAACAACGAGAGTACATGAACACCAACTGGCTACAAAAAGACACGACCAATACTCACTCATCTCAATCCACATGGACTCCGACTGGGACAACACCAAGATCCTGGGACAGGCTAGGCAGAGACAAGCACGAGAATTCCTGGAAGCATGGCACTCCACGAAGCATGCTATTAATAACCACATTGAACTCGACCCCGTATACATTCCACTACGGAGGAAACCCGGAAGTGAGGCAATCCATCGCAACGGACCCCAGAGTTTAAAAACCAGGCGGGAAAACACACCGACGCTTCATCAGAGGCTGCACTGAGGATGTTACCAAGCATGGTAACGAAACGTCTGCAGTACAACAAACCGGTTTGGCGAGCCAACCAACCTCAATATTGTGGGAATCACAGATGTGCCTGTAAGGGGATCAGGGCTGGGAACCAAATATCCAAGGATACACGTCCTATCATAAGGATAGGCAGGTAAGCAGAGCAGGCAGGGTTACTTTGCTAGTAAGGAATGAAATTGATTAAAGTAAGAAGTGATATAGCATTGAAAAGGTGTAGAATTGGTGTTGCTCGAGTTGAGGAACTGCAAAGGAAAAGAAAAAAAGAGTTATGTATAGGCCCACTGGCAGTAATCTGGATAGGAGGCAGAAAATAAATTAGAAGATAGAATCGGCTTGTAAGGAAGGCACCATGATAATCATCATGGGAGAGTTCAAAACGCAAGTGGACAGAGAAAATCAGGTTAGTAGCAGATTTCAAGAGAAGAAATTTGTGGAAAGTCTGAGTTTTTTTTGTAGCATCTTGTGGTACAGCACAACAAGAAATATGCATGTCTGGATTTGGCAATGATTAAGGAAGCAGATTTGACTACTTGATTGAAGTGAAGGAATCACTAGGGGGCAGTGACCACAATATGATAGAATTCACCCCACAGTCTGAGAGGGAGAAGATGGAGTAAGATATAGTGGCATTACAATTAAATAAATGTAACTACAAAGATGAGGGAAGGGCTGGCCGGAGTTGTTTGGAAGGAGAGCTTAACAGGGAATGTGTGGAATCGAAATGGCAGTAATTTC